CTTAATCCACTGCATTAACTAGTGACATTGCTTTACTGACTTTTTAATCCCTTCCTATCAGTCCAAACTGCAAGTGATCTGATAACATGCACTTATTCTCCTTGATAACATACTCTTTGGTATGAAACAGTTTATCATCCTCCCTATGATTTTAATGAACACATAGTTTTCTATTTTGTAAAAAGAATATTAATCAAATGGGGAAATTCACTTAATGTTGGAGGGAAAGCAGGTTATAAAACTGCTTGTACACAACCATCCTGATTTTGTTTAAAAATAAGTAAGAAAAGAAGGCTGAAAGGATACATAAAATGTTTTACACTGATCATCTTCAAAGTGAAGGGATTGTGGATGACATTTTTTCAGCAGGCATTTTATTCTTTTAGCTTATTTTTCTCCATTCCCAATCAGAACTGGAAACATATTTTAAACCATATTCACCAAATCCCATTCCTACTTGAAACTGCGAAAACAGACTATCCCCTATTTACAATGGGTCAACTTTATGGTGGTGCCCATACAACCATTCTGCTCTTCCCTTTCAGTACAATATTCAATAAATTACATGACATATTCAACACTTTATTCACTTTATTATTAAATAGGCTTTTATGTTAGATGATTTTGCCCGACTATAAGGCTAAAGTGTTTTTAGTATGCTTAAGGTAGGCTGGGCTAAGCGATGATGTTTGGTAGGTTAGGTGTATTAAATGCATTTTCAACTTTTGATATTTTCAATTTATTATGAGTTTATCAAGACACAGCCCCACTGTGAGTTGAGGAACATCTGTATCTATTTTTAATTTGGCTTTTAGGAAATCAAATAATGGTTAAAAAGCTTATTTTATACCTTATTGTTAATACTAAAAAGTGTATATTCTACTGTTAGTAAGAAATCTATACATTAAGGTCTTAATGTACAGTCTCCAGGAGAAGTGCAGTAAGAGAAATTTATTTTCTTTGTATGAGGGGGAAAAAATTAAAATACTAAAAAATATAATTGTGCTCAGCATTCCACTTCAAAATCAATATAGTTCTTGAAGAAATTAGAAAAATACACATCTCAAAATACACAACTTCCCAAAAAGGGTGATGTAATAGCTCACTTCTCTGTTAAAGTCAAACAGCTTTATTAGCTTAATTTATCTGAAGGGAGACCTATGTACAAGAAAGTAATAGAGAATGAAATATCAAACAGAGTGGTTAGTTAGGCTCTTGACCAGCCATTAAACCAATTTAATATATAATAGAAACGAGTTACTATGTCTTACCACTCACCTTTTTTTTTTTTTAATCTACAGAAAAATGTATTCCTAGTTTAAACCATAGACCATGGCATCTTTCTCTACCCTTTCATTTGCTTCAATGGCAAAAGCAGCAAAACTCTATCCATAGTTGATCATACAACCAGGCAGTCCTCCTGAATTCTGAATGAACTGAGAGACGGATGAACATACAAATATGTGATAATGCAGATACAGTAAAATGATAATGGTAGAATCTCAGTGGTTGGCATTCAAGTATCCTTTGTAAACTTCTTTCAACCTTGTTATATATGTTTCAAAGTGATCACTAGTAAAATGGGGAGAAAACAAAGAAGCTCCTTCTAGTAAATCACTCAGAAATGGAAGCTAAAATTGATATAAAACATTTACAGTACCAGTAAATTTGTTAAGTAGCATTTTCATGAGCATTCCATAAAGAAAAACATGTTGACTAATGACTGAGAATTTTGATGCTTTAGGAATAAAGGGGGGGTGGAAGGGACTCCTTTGAAAGAATACCTAAGGAACAAGTGGCTTCTGGAATAGAGAAATGAAAACCAGGGTAGGGGGAGTCTTTTTCACTGTGAGCCCTTTTGCTTCATTTAATCACCTTCTTCTATAACTTACTGAAATAGATGATTTTTAAACTTAATATTCTCATTGTAAACTTGCTTGTCATTTTTCTTATTTAAAAAAATGCAGGAGGAATAACTGCATAACTTGCACCGGGACCTTCTGGTAAATTACCAGTCTCATTCCTAAAGCACTTAAGCTTGTAGGAGACCAAAAGGAAAATGCATTATTCCCCTAAGCATGATTCTAGTATTATCATTCCCTAGTAACTCTGAAAGATGCTGTTAAACAGAAAATGAACTAGACCAGAAATAATGAGACCACAGCCTAAATCTGTCATTAACAAGAAATGTGACCTTAGTTTTTCTCACCTATAAAATGAGGGAATTGGATGAAATTATCTTAAATAAAAAGACCTTTCCAGCTCCAAAATTCTGTTAGACTATAATTACAAAGAACAGGCTACAAATTCAATAATTAGTGAAGCACTGCAGGCATCAAAAGTGATTACAATTCATGGTTGCTGGATTCTGAGTTCTGCGTACATTTCTAAGTCAGCATCAACTGACTAGAATCACAATTTCTGAAGAAGCAAAAAGCTGCATTTCAGAATCTGCCAAGAGTTTGTTTGGTTTCTTTGTTCTAAGCTCCAGCTGGCAAAGACACTACTCAGATCACCAACTCTGAAGGGCTTCCTGCCAAAACTTCAGATCCCAATTCCAGGCAGTTTCACTGTCCTTTAGGACTGATTACAAAACTAATGGGCAAAGACAGGAAGGCACAGGAACAGACTAGACAAGATGAACCTACAATTGGGAGAAAACCAAATTCAAAACACAATCTATAAAGCAAGTATACATGAAATGAAAGGACTCCTTAACATTATCAAAATATACAGCCAGTTAAATTTTACTATCCTTATGGCTGTAATTTCAAAAACGACCCATTCATTTATTCAACAAATGTTTATAAATATGGTAAATGTTCTGAAGACCAAAAATAGATCCCTCCCTCTCCCTAGGGGCTCAAAGAAGCAACTTAGAACACAAGATAAATTGTATATGAGAGGTGTCATGGAGGATGGAAAAAGACTCTGCCTGCTATGAAGATCAGAGACAAATTCCCCAAGAAAGCAGCATCTGAGTTCAAGCTTGAAGGATGAGCAGGAAAAAAGAGGGGAAAGATGTTTTCAGGAGAAGAAATAGCATGTCAGCAAGCAAGATCGTATGATGCTGCACACCACACTGGCTTTGATATGACTAGGTTGTGCAATATGTGGAATAGGCAGAGGGTAAAAAGAGAAGTTGCAAAGGTACCAAATTACAACAGGTCTTGTAACCTAATGCCAAGGACTTTTTAACTCAATGGGAAAACACTAAAGAATTTTAGACAACTGAATGACATAGTCAGAATTCACTCTGAAGACTATAATATGGAAGATGGATTTGAGGGAAAGAAACCAATTAGAAAGTTAAAATGAAAGGAGAGGGGAGGAGTTAAAGTTGGCTCTTAGGTTTCTGAATTGGGCAGCTAAGTTTAAGCAGGAGGAGGAAAACATTACAAGTACAGTTTTAGATACGCTTAACTTCAGGTGCCTGTGGAACTATCAAAGCAGAGATAAGGGCAGTAGGCAGTTAGATATATAGGTTTGATAACTGGGACCCAGATATGGAGTAGATAAAGATCTAATAGTACACAAGGTAGTAGTGCTGAAGCCACAAGAAAAGATCCAGTTTGCAAAGGACTAAGATGACCCTATGGACTACCAATATTTTAGGGGGAAAAAGGAGGAAGCAAAGAAACTTGAGAAACAGCAGCCAGTGAGGGTACATGCAAACCAATTAAACTAACACAAAAATCATTTATTGTCCAGAGAATACACCAAAACAAAATATAAAAACTTCAGTTCTCTCAATTTTTGAGAGATCAATATACCTTATCTGACATCATAAAAGAATAAAATTTTGATGAATTAAAAAAATTATATTAGGTTTCGCGCCAATCTTGGTCTGGCTTCTGAGAGGTGCTAGTGAGCCCGGTGGTGTTTGCTGGTGCCGCCATGGTTCGTACGCTAAACTGCATCGTCGCTGTGTCCCAAAACGTGGGCACTGGCAAGAACGGGGACCTGCCCTGGCCCCCACTCAGGAATGAATTCAAGTATTTCCAAAAAATGACCACAACCTCTTCAGCAGAAGGTAAACAGAATCTGGTGATTAGGGATAGGAAGACCTGGCTCTCCATTCCTGAAAAGAATCGACCTTTAAAGGATAGAATTAATGTAGTTCTTAGTAGAGAACTCAAGGAACCTCCACAAGGAGCTCATTTTGTTGCTAAAAGTCTGGATGATGCCTTAAAACTTATCGAGCAACCAGAATTAGCACATAAAGTAGACATGGTTTGGATAGTGGGAGGCAGTTCTGTTTATAAGGAAGCCATGAATCAACCAGGCCATCTTAAACTGTTTGTGACAAGGATCATGCAGGACTTTGAAAGTGACACATTTTTTCCAGAAATTGATTTGAAGAAATACAAACTTCTCTCAGAATACCCAGGTGTTCTTTCTGATGTCCAGGAGGAGAAAGGCATTAAGTACAAATTTGAAGTATATGAAAAGAATGATTAATATCTTCAGTGTTTTCTGATTTATTTCAAGTTGTTGCCCCCCTCTCTAAAAAAATTATACATTTTTACATTAGAAGAAAAGACTTGTCGACTTTAGATCTAGGGATAATTATTTCTAAGCATGTTTTTATTCCCCATTATTCTTAATTAGACTATATCAAATACCATTTGTGAAACATTTCTCACTATAACTATCTCAGTGCCTCTCCCCGGCAGCCAGGACTGCGTCCCCACCACCTGCTACGGTGAGGTGCCATTCCATCCCCATCACGTGTGGCATTCTCACCAGTCCTTGCCATTTTCAGACTTGTAAAATGTTGGCAATATTAATTAAAGATGAAGATGCACATACCCTTCAAAAAAAAAAAAACTATGTTAGACCCTTACATAGCATTAAATATATGCAACTGAAGTAGATTATTCAGTACTATCTCTTAAAGTATGCTGAACACTCTCGATGACTTGCAGTCCCCTAGTAGGGAAACCAAGTAGTAAAGGGAGCCGGAACACTCTAGTGACCTCTCTGTGTTCCTTCTGTGAGCAAAGATGCTACACTGGACTGTTTCTGATTTCTTCTGTGCTCCAAAGTGTTTGGGTTTTTTATTTTTGTGTTTTGTGGGTTTTTTGTTTTTTTGTTTTCGCTTTTCTTCCATCCAAAATAGAAGGCAACATCACCTATAGAGATGAAGTTGAGCCAGAAACTTAAGAAGTACAATGTAAGTTTTAGTGAATAAAACAAATGGCACTTGCCCTTCATTGAAATTTCAATTGCCTAATTCCAAACTGCGATCACTGCTATGCAAATGAAACACAAAGAAAGAGAACAGTATGTGTGTTTAAAGGTAGGGGAAAATAGATATATCTGGACTGATTTGAAGGCCTGTTATTTAAATTCTCAAAATGGAGATGACCAAGAGGTGGTAAAAAAGAACTAAAATCAAATGAAAAGAGGTCCTAGAGATAGATATTCAGAGATTCAATAAACTTCACAAATACAAGATAAAAATTCACTAAGTATAAGAAAATGACGATCCAAATAAAAGTGCAGCAACCATGGGATGAAAATCTCCCTAGAAATTAAGTAAATTTAGCATCCAACACCCCACTATACTCAACATCAGTTAAATTTACAAATATATTATTTTGTCCACCCCTTGGCTAACAATTTAGGAGACAAATGATGAGATGGATATGATTAGGAGATATTAAAAGAAGACATAGTGAACTTAGAATTCTCTGATTGGTCAAAGCCGGAGATTTGCTAAAAACTAAGTTCACAGGCAAGTTGCTATATTATAATACCTGCTGTACTAAAATCAGAGAGAAAGAGTATCAACTTAAAAGTTACTATTATGTTCACATTAAACATTGAGAAATTCCCATTAAAGACAGTTACTGATACTACAGAAAACTCAAAATCTAGAGTGCTTTCCAGTTATCAAAAATGAAACCATTTTTAGGTATGGCATTTTTCTAATGGCTGAAGATGCATAAAAGTCTTCCCGGTTTCCCAGGTGGGAAGGCAGAGGAAGGGATGAAGAGGCAATAACATTTCTCTGAATCTATCTTTTTGTGTATCTTTGACTCTTAGAACCCCAGTATTACTTCATGATATATCCTTCACAGATAAAAAAAAAAAACAAAAAACATTAAAACCAACAAAGATATTGGGGGGAACGGGAGGAATAAAAAATGGAATAAAAACAGCAACAAATGAACATAACTATATTACAAGTGAATAATGTAACCATACTGAAGAAGGCAGGGAAGAAAAGGTTAACTTTGCTGAAAATCTAATATTTCAAAATAAAAAGTTTAAAGAAAAATGTCATAAGATATATGAAAAGATGGAGAAAGTTAACAATTTTGTAAAAAAAAGAAGCATATTAATGTACTCATAGGAAAAATGCATGTTTTCAGAGTTGTATGTTTCAATTTTTATATATTCTACAATAAACACATGAACTTTATAATCCATGAAAAGTGGCAAATGTCATTTTTAAATAATAAAACAAAAAACAGGCAAAAGTGATCTATACCATTAGAAGTCAGAGCTGGCCATCGTGGCTCATGCCTGTAATCCTAGCACTTTGTGAAGCCAAGGTGGAAGGATCACCTGGAGCCCAAAAGTTCAAGATCAGCCAGGACAACATAGCAAGACTCCGACTCTAGAAAAAATAAAATTAGCTGAGTATGGTGGCATGCACCTATAGTCCTAGCTACTCAGGAGACTGAGGCCACCCAGGAGTTCGAGATTGCAATGAGCTATATGATCCCACCACTGCAAAAAAGTTATAATAGGGCTACCCTTGTGTATGCAGTGAGTGGAAGGGCAAGAAGGTTGGGGGTGGGGGGAACTCCTGGGATACTGGTAATGTTCTTTCTTGGTCTGGCTGATGGGCAAACAAGTGTATTCACTTTGAAAATTCATCAATCTGTATACACACCTATGATTTGTTTACTGTGTTACATTTATAAAAATTCAAAATAAAGTAACTTGACGGCAAGGATTGTAAGTAACTTAACTGCAATGAATTAAAATAAATCAAATATGCTCCCACCCATCCATATGTTCATGGTGATTTTTAAAAATGATAAGCACTGGCAGAACTCATTATTTTGAAAAACCAGTATACACAGGGCAAGAATCGAGTATTTATTCTGTCTTTCCTATACAAACAGTACTGGGGGTAACCAAATAGCATATGAAGCAGGGAAGTTTCTCTTCTTAGAGGTATTTCAGCTAATCAATGAAGAAAGAATAATAAAATCTGAATATGATCATTTACAACACCTAGTGAATTAAGGGATCTAGGCATTGATCATCAATGGTTGCTGACATCATCAAAAACCAATAAAAATCCTGGGAACCTAATACCCTTTATGAAGTAGTCTGGTAAAAACCAAGCAAAAAAAGAAAAAAATCAAACTGAATCCATTCAAGGCTCTAGATCTGTGCTACCCAATACGGTAGTCACCAGCCACATGTGGCTACTGAGCACTTAAAATGTGGACTGAATGCTAGTCCAAATTGAGATGTGCTGTCTGTGTAAAATACATGTGGCATGGATTTCGATGATTCAGTATAGAAAAATAATTTAAAATATCTCATTTATAATTTTATAACATTATATACTAAAATGGTAATATTTTAGATATATGTTAAATATTAAACTTAAATTTACTTTTTAAAAAAATTTTTTGATTTGGCTATAGAAAATTTTAAATTATATAGGTGGCTCACATGGTATTTCTATTAGAACTGCTCCAGCTCCAACTAACCAATATACAAGAAACAAATACAGAGGGCCAAGCATCACTGTAACTGACACTGGGAAACAAACACAAAAATCTATACTGTGGAAAATTCTACTGAACAAACAATTCTGTTCCTCAACCAATAAAACTGCAAGGGAAAGGGGGAAAGAAAAAGAGAGAGAGAGACAGACAGACCAGGGGGAACCTTGTATGTCTAAGAGACTTAAGTAAGAGACATGGCAAACAATCACAACGAAAGGACCTCATCAAGGAAAGCTGATATTTAAGACAATTAGAAAACGCTAACTATCTGATTTAGAATTTATTTCAAAAGTGTTAATGGTAACGTAGCTTTTTTTTTTTTTAAAGAAGCATTATCTTTTTGATATATACATACATACATATATATATACAAACACACTCAAATACAAGTTGAGTATCCCTTACCAGAAATGCTTAGAACCAGAGTGTTTTGGATTTCGGATTTTTTTTTTTTTATTTTGGAGTATTTGAAATATACTGGGTGAGAATTTCAAATCCAAAAATCTGAATGAAATCCAAAGTCCTCCAATGAACACTTCCTTTGAATGTCATGTCAGTGCTCAAAAAGTTTCAGAATTTGGAGCATTTTGGATTTTCGGATTTGGGATGCTCAACCTGTATTAACAGATCAAAAGATGTCTGGCATTTGCTTCAAAATAATGGGGAAGGGAGGACACAATGAATGGAAGTATAGCTGAAACAAGACTGACCATAAATTGATAACTATACTGGGTGATGTTAACATGGAGATTCATTATACTCCTCTCAAATACTTTTGTATGGGTTTGAAATTTTTCCACTTAAAAAAGAAAAGTAACTCAAGAGGCTTAGAAATTAATTACTGATCTAGAAAAGACCCAAACAAAGAATGCTGCTACCATGATGCCACAACAGTACGCAAAATTTCCATGAACTGGCTACTCCAGCAACTGCCTTTCAGAAAAGTTAGAAAAATGCAGCTAGTTCTGGAGATGTACTCGTACCTTCTGGGAGTTTCTAGGCTGAAGTTAAGGTGATCTAACATTACCAGTAAGTTAATAACAGAACAAAAAAGGCAATTCTTGTCTAGAAAAGGTGTCAGATATTAATCAAATAACAGCAGAAAACTAAATACAAGTTTTTAAAAGTACCATAAAGGACCTAACAGGTAAAATGCACACTAACTGGTTGAAGGGCACATTTATAACTTCGACTGTAACTGTACAAAAGCAAATTATGTAACCAAAATGTACGTACCCCTGTAAAAATTCTGAAATTAAAAAAAAAAAAAAGTACCATAAAGGACTACAAGGAGCTTAAAGCACTGAGTTCTGATCCAGTTTCTGGGCTCTGGGCAAAGTTACTGAGGAAAAGAACGAGGGACAAGGTACTAGGTGAATAAGGGATGGAGGTGGGAAGCTTTCCAGGTACAGAAAACAGCACATGCAAGAGCCCTGGGGTAGGAAAGAGTATCTCTCATTCATTCAAATAATGTTTGGGAGTTCATTATGTGCTAGAAACTGTGTTAAGCTCTGTGAATAACCAGGCGCAATTAGAATGACTTTAGTTCTCATGGAGCTTATAGTCTAGTGGGAGAACAAGATGATCAAAAAATTTCATGACTAAATATATAAGCACAGGCTTAAATAAGTACTATGAAGGAAAGACAAAACAGTGTCATGAGAGGAACTCAAAGAGAAAGCTGGCAGGAAGCACATGTGCTAGGAACTAAAAAGAGTAAAGTATAGTTTGAGAAAGAGAAAGGAGGAGAAGGACACAAGATGAGGCTACAGAGAGAGGCAGGGTCAAATAATCAACTAGGAGCTTACTGACTACATTAAAGATTTTGATCTTTTGCTCTAAAGGCAATTGAGAAGCCTTGGAATTTTAGGATGAGTGTGTGT